AGCAATAACATCTGTCTTAATAATTTCCCATGACTTCTTGTAGAATTCAGCAGTAAATCCATCAGAGCCAGCAGATTTACTGCTATCTATGGAACTGATTGCATTCCATATTTCCTTTTCAGTGGGGATGTCAGTAAGCTTGAGACCAGCAGTGTAGTTCAGTTCTACCATGAAGTGTGCCTTCTCAATGTGGGGTCTGAAGGTATGTTCCTAGTTGAGTAATTCTTTGTAATAACATATAGCATCATTTGATATATCATTGTTGTTATGTAGCCACTGGCCATTGGCATTTTGTATAGCATGGATGGTATTGCATTTACTTTTATATTTTATATAGGCATGAAAGAATCTAGTGTTTCTATCCCCATCAGTGAAGATATTCATGGCTGCCTTCTGTTTAAGAAATTTTTCCTGGTAATCAATGGCACTGAGGAGGTTGTTGTGAGCAATCAACAGCTTTTTCTCCTCAATACCAAGCTGTCCCCCATTCTCCAAAGCTTTGACTTCATCTTCAGCCTTCTGGACTGTGGCATGAGCATTTCCAAAAGTGTTCCAGCTCCAACCTCTGAGGGCTTTAGCAATCTTTATTTGCAATAAGCTTAGCTTGACTAAGGGGTCAGGGTGAGAGACCCCTTTCCATAGGTCAGCAATGTAATTACTACAAGAAGGATGTGCAGTCCACATGTTGAGATATCTAAAGGGGAGGGGGGAGCAATAGTTATCAGTTGAGGTGATGCTTATAAGAATAGGTCTATGATCTAAGCCAACAAGACTAAGGTGAGTAACAAAGGTGAGGAGAAAGTGATTGAACCATGCATCATTAACCAGTATTCTATCAAGCCTCTCCCAAATAGATCCCCTTTTCCAAGTGAAATTAGGTCCCTTGAAACCCAGATCAAAGAGACCAGCCCTGTGGATATTGTCTCTGAAGGTATTCATCTTGGCAAGGTTTTGAGTTCTACCTCCAGATTTTTCAGTGTTAGAAATGATACAGTTGAAATCACTCCCCACCAACCATGGGGAGTTCACCTGTTGGCTGATTTGAATCAACCCTATCCACAACACTTTTCTAGCATCCTTTGTACATCCAACATAGATAAAGGTAGCTTCACCTTTATGTCCATTCATATTGAATGAAAGGTGGACAAATTGCGGATGATCAATTAGAATATCAAAATTTGTTTCTCTTCTGCAAAAAATCCAAATTTTATTATTAGTGTTCCCAAAATGAGTGAAGCCAGCAAATTTTTTAATCAGGTTTTGAGGATTCTTGTGAACCATGGGTTCAAGAATAACAATCCACCACTGTTTGTATTTATAATTCAGGTATGAAACTCTTTTAAGGGACAAGGGATTAGCCATCCCCCTTATATTCTAGCAAAGTAGATTAATCATGGAGTGGAGGTTGTGGGGAAGGCTGGGATCTAGATCTGGTTCTTCCTCTAAGGAGTGGAGACCCATTCCTAGTTCTATCAGCCTTCAT